TTCCAAGTACCTAATTTTGAAAGGTGAGATTGGCTACCCTTAGGGTTAAAACTCATGGTAGATATTAAATTTGCTAGAAAGCCAAGCTATTGACTGTGTACTTAAGTTGTAAATTAACATGCTTTTTATAGTAAGACAGATTCACGCCATCATTTCCCTCTGTATCTTCTCCAAACTTGTTTGTGTGTGTGTAGGGGGGCAGGTACTGCGGGGAGGGTTCAGACTCCAGTGAAACCATGACAAAGGACAGAAGTTTGCAAGTTTTGTAAAAGGAAAGTGTGCAGAGACTTGAGACTGGCAGGTGTTGTGTTAAATGACTTTACTAGGTAAATATTACTTCTTAGGTCGCTGCATTCACATTAAAACTGGAGTTAGTGGCTCCAGGGAGGCTTTTATTTTGCTCTAATTTTCTGTGTCGGCAGGTACCAGGACCCTTCAGAAAAAAAGGGAAGAGCTGAGTTACAGAAATAACATAACTTTTCAGTTAGATGTATTTAGCTCTCTTCAGAGCTGGTGATTTTTTTTTTTCTATCTCTACTCTGTTCAGTTCTGCCAGATAAGGGAATTTGTTTTGAATACAACAATGCTGTTTTCCAAGAGGATAATTTTTTCAGGGCATTTTTTGCCTCTACTTGTCCTGATTGTTTATGCCCTTTGTTGTTTATAATGGGTTAAATAAAATGAGAGCTCTCCTGATCACTAAACATGGCTGAGGAAAGTGGTCACAGCAAATGAGTGTGAGAACAGATGAGAGTCTCCACGTGCAAGCACGGTGTGTCCAGGGCACGGGGCAGGGGCTGCTGCTGTCAGAGGGAAAGTCTTCATTGATGAGTGGGAGGCGGGACAGGGTGGAGACTGGCCACATTGGCTCACTCCCCTTGAGAGTATCATCCTCAGATCACCCCTTCCTTCCCCAGCCGACTCCTTGGGCCCACATTTTCCCAAGGTGTGTTATAGATCAGTGACGTCCCAGCCCCAGCCAGGTGCAGTCAGTCTCTACATTGGTAAAGGGCTGATGCTCAAATGGTTACTATTTGACTGGAAAAACAAGATTAAATACTTTTAATCTTGAGTTTTGTAGTAAGAGAAGGAACATTATATTATTTAGATTTTCGGTTTCACTTTTCACGTAGAGTCATTGATTTATACTCTTTGGTAGGGATTCCGTTGTACACAGCCTCATCCTTCCCATTCATATATTGAAGTCCTGACCCTCAATGTCACTGTATTTGGAAATAGGGTCTTTCAAAGGTAATTAAGATTTCAAGGGGTAGTTAAGGTTAAGTGAGGTCTTAGGGTATGGCCTTATTCTAATGGACCTGATGTCTCTATACAAAGAGCAAGGGACACCAGGGATCTGTGCACACAGAGATAGGCTAGGTGAGGTCACCTTGAGAAGGTGGCACCTGCAAGTCAAAGACAGAGGCCTCAGGAGAAGCCAGCTCAGTTGACATGTTGATTTTGGATTTTTAGCCTCTAGAACTGTGAGAAAGAAATGTCTATTGTTTAAGCTGCTTAGTCTGTGGTATTGTGTTATGGAAGCCCTAGCAGACAATTACACTATTGATTAGTAATTCCAAAGAAATTGCATATTCAAAAATGAGTTCACTGTGTTTATTTCTACCATTTGTACATATGGTTGCGTAATGTTAGCAAACCATCTTCTTATTTACTGACAATAATATATCCCAAGCCTTCATAACTTTATTGGCCTGCGATTTAGGAGATCAAAGACTAGAACCTTTTCAGAAAGTATGGTAACCCAACTGCTGGAAGATCCAGGAGGTAAGGAAACAGTCAACCTAATTCTCAGGAGCATTTATGAATACAAGGCAACAGGTGTGAGGACTTGTAAAGAGACTGAAAAGAACTCTGTATTTTATTCATCTGCTATTCAGGAAGACTCATCAACCCTAAGTGGGAAAATGTGAACTTGTAAGTGAAACTAGGGTAGCTCACCACCCCACTCCATGTAGCTAACCCATCCTTAAAGGACGGCCCGCTAGCCATTTGATGATGCAGTAGGAAGATGGTTGATTTTGACTTAACCCAAAGATGTCAAGGGGTGCCTCTTAGACATTGTTACAGTTGAACAAAAGAATGAAGCTCTTATTTTTTAAGCTTTAAAAGCGAAGGTATGGGTATTCAACAAAAACAGCTAAGACAAGTGCCCATCTGTGCTCACTGCAGCCAGTTCTTCCCTGGGAGAGTGGGAGCATTTTGTCTTTGGGGGGCAGACATAGGAAGGGAAGAGGCTGGTCAGTAGGTTGTTCACTTTAGCCTTCAAAAATCTTCATAATTGGTCCACTTTAATCAATTATGTTCTGCTCTCACGAACTTTTATTCTAAAGAATATTTCTTTGTTAGGGCTTTGTGGGGGAACATTTGCTTTGAATCCTTGGTTTTTGGCCTTGTGTCAAATCCCCTAAAGAAACTACTCCCAACCTAATCTCAACCTGCTGACGTGTGTGGCTTGAAGGTTTGGGGATGGTTCCAAGTGACCCAAGGCAAGCTAGGTGCTTCCCACCTACTGGGGTAAATGCAATTACACACTTGGAACTGTGATGGCCTTCTTAGAACACTCTGAGCTGGGGAGCAATTGGGTCAGGGAGGGAGGCCAAGGACAGAGGACACCAGCACCAGAACAGCCTAGGGCCTGCCCTTCTCTAATATGTGATCATCTTCTCAGTTTCAATTAGAACCAAAATGGTCTTCCAATGACAAGATCCCCTCCAATTAGCACAGAAAGCATTCTTCTTAGTGCGCCTCTACAAATATCATTTACCTTAATGATTTCATGCCCGGTTCTGTTCTAGGACACATGCCAAATTCTGTCCCAGGCCACATTCTTAATGACTTGAGAATGATCTGTTTCTCTTCTTTGTGTGTCCTCTTATAAGAACTATCCTCTCCACCTCATGCTTTGCAAATAGCTCCTTTTGCTTGATGAGCCCCTGAAGGTCTGCTAATATTTCCTTGTAGGGATGGAAACTCTGATCACTTCTTTGCAAGGAATAATAACCAAATATTTTTTTTACTCTCTGGTCACCCCAGATCTTCTACCATGACTAGCTTCTTTTCTGCCTTCTATTACAGAGCTATTGTAGAAAGGCAGGCCTTGCAATTTGCAATGTGCTACCTGCATGGATGTGTTCATCTTTGGAAGTAAGGCTGGGTGTGCAGTGTCAGAGGGGGTACAATCAATGAACTGAATAGATGACATTTAGTAACTGGAGAGTATTGAGACAAGTCTAAAGGGTAGGACTAATAGACCCGAAGCTTCCAATATAAAAAATATGCACTTCCCAGCAAGGATTGTGGATGGGGCAAGAAAGTAAAGAGAAGCCGAGGGAAGAAAGCAAATCAGAAGGTATGCTTTTGGTTCTATTGCTGTCCAACAGATTTTATATGCCAGATGAACACTTTTCTGTAGTTGAACAAAGCTCATCAGCTGAGAAAAAATGAGTGTCCTCTACCCCAACATCAACAGAAAGCCACGAACAAGCTGATAATTAGAAATTGCAAATACAAGAATGCTGTGAGCTCCCATGACACATATGTGAGAGGGAGAGTCACATCTTCAGGCATCTGGATTTCTCCAACCAAGAAGAAAGAGCTCTGCTCCTTTCCAGAGCAAGTGCACTTTAGCTAGACCCAGAGGATAATGGTTATCAATCAGGGTGATCTCTGCACGCCTCTCTGCCTCATCACAACTGACACCATACTGGCAATGTCCACATTTTTTTGTGGTCACAGTGGGGAGGGCTGGGGAAGCTGTGGAGGGACATATAGAGAGTGGGGACTCGGGATGCTGCTAAACGTCTTATAATCGAAGGACAGTTCCCCATAGGCAGGAATTGTCTGGCTGAAAATGTGGATATGCTGGTGTGGAGAAACTCTTGTGTAATGTTAGCTCCAAATACATTTCAAAATCAGGTGGGTGCTCAGAACACAATATCTCTCATCAGGCTGCTTTTTAGACACCTGCTACCGATTAGACATAAAGAAAAGTGATTTATAGCTCAAATCACTGTAAAAAATGACTTTACAGTTAAAATATAAGCTGACAAACCTGCTTCTCTTTCTCAAGGAACTGATTTGTAAAGAAAGGGTGTGCTGCTTTGATATAAAATTGTTTCTTTATTTCTAGAAAATAATTTTGCTTTCATGCATGTCAAAGAATGTGAAGTCTATAGATTTTTTAACACATTTTAGGACATGAATATTGAATAAACACTTGAAAACTAATTTGTTTTTGAACTATAGGATGACTACATTACTACTATGAACATGTGGATGTTTTACCCCAGGTCTTATGAAGATCAAATATGCTTAATTTTATTTTATTTTATTTATTTATTTTTTTAAGCTTTTATTATTTTTATTTATTTATACAAGCACTGGGTACAGTGTGAAGCGTGGGAGGGTGAGAGAATTCACCAGAGCCAGAGCCAGAGCCAGAGAGCAGAACAGGCAGAAGGACGAAGTACACTGCTGAGGGGAGCAGCGGGCGGCAGGAGAGGTCTGCGCGCCATGCGGGACCCTCCTCCGGTGACCGGGGAGCAGCCCGGGATCGAACAGGCACTGCAGAGGCTGCGGGCAGCTTCGCAACCCAGCGCTCAACCGCCTTGCCACCGGGGAGGCCCTGTGCTTAATTTTAGATGAGAATATAAATTGTACCCCAGTGTCCCACAGATTCTGCATCTATTTCAGCCTTGATAAGAAAAGTGATTGTTCATTATGAGGAAGAGGACAGCTTGTTCCTCTCATATCTCAAACCTGAGTCATTCAAGTTTAAAAACTTCACAAGGATCTTACATTTCAACCACTCAGAAATCATCATGGCCCAGGATGTCCTTGGGGATGGGAGATGATGCAATATTTATTGTGGTGTTTTGTGTACATGTGGTGGTTCACCTCACGGTGGGTCCACTCGGTTTTGTGCATTGGGAGATGGCCATGGTGTGCTGGGAGTTGTAAGTCAATAAGAGCATGGCTTTCTCTGGTGTTCCATCAAGCTGTTGGATTGATAATGAGAAACACTTTTAAGAGAGAATCTTAATATAGATCTTTTAAGCTCTTATGAGTTCACATCAATACAACTAATAAGCTTACTGTCGCTAGGCTAGTGTGTGTCTATTAAGTGAAACTAATTTCACTTAATCTTAATTAATTTTCAATTTCTATTTTGTCTCCTCGGTTCCTGCATTATTCTCTTAATTACAGCTTATGCTTAGCTTGCTGATACTAGAAATCAAAATTAAATGAGAAAAGGAAAGCAAGACTAAATCTGCTTAGGTGGCAGGTCATATGGCCAAATTGTTACTTGAATACAGAGACGCGTGTGGTCACCTCCATTTCAATTTCTGCAGAAATTAGTCTCTCCCTCCAAATGTATTAATTTCTACCTGAAATAACTAGGGCATTTGTTTTTTCCTAGCTGAAAATAGCTTATTGAAATGTCCAGAAACATATATGAGTACCTAGAAGTGGTATAAAATATGAACCATGAATGATAACAACCATTCTTCCTAAAGGGAACGATTTACTTTCATGAATATACACAACTGCAGAATCCAGCTCTTTTCTGAAGGGAATTGTAGACTCATCTCCAGTGATGTAATTGAACATGGTATCAGTTGATACTTACCATTTAATCAGAATTCTATGGACTTGGTCTTGCTTCCTAAATCCATTATTTATTTTACATTTTTGTATTCATTGAGACTTTTTATCCTAATTTTAAATCTTGGCAATTTTAAAAAAGTCCTGCTTTTCTTTTGAGTTTTCTGCTGAAAAGGAGTTGCATCTCCTTAGGTAGTTCTGAAAGCTGTTCCCAGGCTCTCCCCTGACACTTCAAACAAGGCCCACAAAGCAGCTCCAGACTCTCATAAAAAGCACATCGTCCTCACTGTCAGCTCCGTGTGCTGCCAGGGCAAGGTCGGGGCTTGAGTTTTTCATCTTCCATGACACTGTCAGAAAAGGGATGGAGGTTTTTCGTGGCTTTGGCCAATCAGAGCTATCTCCACCTTGTCATCGGAGATGTCCACCTTGTCACCCGTTCTAATGTAATGAGGAACTCCTTCCACAGTCTGTACTTCAGTCCTTCAGGTTTAAAAAGAGCATCAGCTTAGTGGTCCCCCAAACAAACTTCCATAGACAAAATTCTCCTCTTATCTAAACCTAAAACCAAACTGTGTACCTATCACCCGAAGCTAACAATCACAGTTAAGAATTTCTGGCTGATAGAATGAGCCCAAACAATACTGTTGGTGTCCTGGAAGCTGGTGCCAAACCCTGTAACCACTTCCCACCCCTGTTACCATCATACAACTGAAGTCTTTATCCATCAGAAAACTCAGCAGTTGCCCAGGTGTTCACAGCGTGCCTTAATCCTTCTATCTTTCTTTCTGCTTCAAGAGTAAAACTAGGAAATTATTTGACATAAGAGAAAAGGGAGGTTTGTGTGTGTTGGGAGGGGGTGAGTGGAGGGGGGACATGAAAGAAGATGATGATGGTTAATGAAATGAAAGTAGAAAATAGGAGGAATTGCAGTGTATTTTCTTACATGATCCATTTGTTTAAAGGCTGAGAGCTAAACAATAAGTTGAGAAGACCCCATGGCATTCAAGAGAGTTACGTGAATTAGTGAGGGACAATTAGCCTAGAACTTCATGCACATTCTTATGCCATCCACATGGTGAGCTGAAAAAGAAATTTGACCAGGACCCAACTGCACAAAAAAAAGAGCCAAAGTTAATGCATACATCCTGTCTTCTGGATGCTGGGTTTGGACAGATTTCTTATTTAAACAGAAACACACATATACACATGTCCAAACAAGAGAACTAGAACAGCATTCGGAAGACACAAAAGAAGAGCAGATATCTGAAAAAGATTTACTATAAGAATGAGAAAAAAATGTAGGAAACTAGCATCATCTATGAGTTAAAAAGAAAGACAGTTATCAAATAGGAACAGAATTCATATTAGATGAAGCTTTAGTTGGATCAATTAGAAACAGATCAGAAAAATAAAGACACCCAGCATTGAAACAGCAAAGATCAGAATCAAATAGATGTTAGAAACAATAAAAAAAAATGTGAGAAGTTCTAGGAGGACGTAGAAGGAAAAATGAGGCTGGAAAACAATGAGAGATCATGATAGGTGGAAGGCAGGGAAGGGGGAGCAGCATGGGAATTACAGGTGTCCCAGGGAGACGCAGTAGAACACATGCAATCATTCCAAGATAGAATTAAATAAAAGATTCTCAGGTTGAAAAAGAATGAACGAGCAGATCAAAAGGGCTCACCATGTTCACAGTCAATGAAATGAAAAGAGAACTTAGTAACATTCAAAACAGAGGAATGGAGAGAAAGGCTGTAAGCATTCATGCAGAAAAATGGGTGAAAAACAAAAGAACAAAGCTAACCTGTCCTTAGACTGGCTTTTTCCTTGGAGGCAATAGAGTCGTGTTTACAGAATTTTGAAAGAAAAAATTGTTAATGGCCATTTTACATTTAGGCAAGTTTAAAAATGTCTGTTAATATAGACAGAAGACTTTTTTTTTAAGAGATATACTAATATCTGATATACTGAACCACAGATATACTACAGATATACTAAAAATTATGCCAATTTTTTACAGATATAATAAAAATATACCAACCATCTAATTTTTCTGAAAAAAATTTGCCCTGTAGAGACATACTTTATTATTATTATTTTTTAAAGATTTCTTTATTCATTCATTCATTCATTCATTCATTCATTTATTTATTTATACAAGAACTGGGGAACAGGTCAGAGGCGTGGGAGGATGAGAGAATTCACCAGAGCCAGAGCGGGGAACAGAGCAGGCAGACTGATGAAATACACTGCTGAGGGGAGCAGCGGGTGAGGCAGGAGAGGTCTGCATGCCATGTGGGACCCTCACCCCGCGGCCGGGGATGGAACCAGCACTGCAGAGGCTGAGGGCAGCTTCTCAGCCCAGCGCTCAACCTCTGTGCCACCAGGGAGGCCCCTATTTTTAATAATATTTTTTAATTGGGATAACATTAGGACCCCTTCCCCCCCATTAACATCACCACCACTGAATCACCTACGGTCTACTAATGTAGAACTTGGTACTTCTTTCTCTCTTGGTTCTTATCTCTCCTTCAGCCCCTCCCTGTCTAGATGCCTCTGTTCTATAGTTAGCTATCAAGGGTTAGTTTTTAAGCTTGTCTCTACTTGGCTCTTAGTTTGGTTTCTCTATATTCCACATATTAGTGACACCACTTGGTATTTGTCTTTCTCCTTCTGACTTATTTCATTTAGCATTATCCCTTATAGCTCCAACCATATCCAACCATATTTCCACAAATGGCATGGGTTTATCTTTTTTTGATTGCTGAGTAGTATTCCATTGTGTACACACACACACACACACACACACACATCTTGATCCACTCATCTCTTCTGGGCACTTAAGTTGTTTCCATGATTTAGCTATAGTAAATAGTGCTGCAGTAAACATGGTAGTGCAAGTGTCCTTTTGAATTAGTATTTTTGCAACTTTTGGGTAGATGCCCAGGAGCGGGATTACTGATTCATGATTAATGTTTTGAGACACCTCCATACTGCTTTCCATAAAGGCTGGACCAATCTGCATTCCCGCCAGCAATGTAGGAGGGTTCCCTTTTCTCCACATCCTCACTGGCACTTTTTTCTGGTAGAGACATATTTTAATATACCAAATTCAAGACTAATTAACCAAGGTACAACATAACCACCACCTTAGCCACTCATACATGGGCTGTCCCGAGGCAAAATATCATTCCAGAAAATGTGTTTAAAAGCTACAAGAATTTTAAGGAATTGTTGCCTCTTTCCACAGAGTCACCTGGGTGGAACCCAAAAGAAATTCTTTCATTACAAATTACTGCTCATTATCAAGAGAATACTTTTTTAACCAGCCACACGTTCATCTGAAAAAAAAAAGTTTTATATTTTACATGAACTTTATCACTAATTTCAGAACTATACATATTAGTGGTGATAAAAATCTACATGACGTATGATAAGAGTTATTAAACATTCCATTTATTGAATGGAGTATATACGCATGTTGATTCTCAATGACGCACACCTAAAACTTATGTAATGTTATAATGCAATATCACTTAAAAAAATTTATAACAACAGAAAACAGAATGTTACCAGGTTACCCGGGGCAGAGGGGAGGAAGCAAAGGGGTATAGAGCTTCTATTTTGCAAAATGAAAAGGTCTGGCAATCTGTTTCGCAACAGTATGAACATCCTTAACCCTACTCAACTGTGTGCTTCAAAGGGCTAAGGTGGTACATTTTATATTATGTGTTTCTTTCCACTATTCAAACAATTTAGAGAGACAACTTCAAGTAAGATATGTAACTTCTCTTGGGCTTAAGCTATGGCCTGTTATATGGAAAAGACTAAGATAATAAATGCCAAAGACTTCAAAAATCACTCATTTGTTATTAAGACATCAGCATGGAGGTGCACATCAGAATGTGAGTCTGGGGTTCACCACCAGCATCTCACTCCCTGCCCCATTAATTACTCCCCACATTTTCTTTGGAAGATGCTGAATCTCCAGGGTCTTCAGTTTTCTCAACTGTAAAATGGGGATGTTGTAGATTTCCTGCATGGGATGTGAGGACAAACGAGTCAACACACAGAAGGTCCCTGATGCCTACCACACTGCCTGCTGTTCACAAGGACAGATGTGAACACACGTCATGTGCAAAATAAGTTATATGTACCTGGTATGAAACAGGAAAAACATTCCAGTGTTTTCTTTGCATTGTAGGGATTTCTTTCTTTTTGTGTTTCTCCACTTTATGAGATTTTACTGAATGAGTTTGCATTACTAGTTTAACAAGATCTAAGCTTTAAAGAAGTCATTTAAATGTAAAAATAAATGATAGTCACTTATTGTCATTCCACACTTGTCAGGTGATGGACTGTAGAACTGAAAGCATTTGCTCCAGTCCCACCATTTTTGTGTTAGTTAGTCTTGAACTTTTCTTTATCTCCGGGAGGGAGGTGGCCACAAGTCCCTGTAGGGGCTTGTGGAAGTGGACATTGTTTGACCCTCATCCTGACTCCATTGGTGATTCCAGGGCTTAACTTTTTTTTTTTAAGATTTATTTTCTTATACAAGAACTAGGGTGCAGGGCAGAGGCTCTGTGTGTGTGTGTGTGTGTGTGTGTGTGTGTGTGTGTGTGTGTGAGAGAGAGAGAGAGAGAGAGAGAGAGAGAGAGAGAGAGAGAGAGAGAGAGAGGATTCACCAGAGACAGAGTAGGGAACAGAACAGGCAGACTGACTGAAATCTGCTGCTGAGGGGAGCAGTGGGGGAGACAGGAGAGGTCTGTAGCGCCACGTGGGTAGCTCCCTGGCCAGGGATCAAACTCAGGCTGCAGAGGCTGAGGATTGCTTCATAGTGCTGTGCTTAACCCCTTGTACCAGGGAGGCCCAGCTTTGCTTTTTATAACAAAGTATTTTTTTCTATAAGAGTAGAAAGAGAAAAGCAGCATGGAGGTCTGAGGCAAAATGACTACTCAGATCTGTCCCATTTCTGCCATTCCTGTGCCCTCCATCCACCTGTCCCTGCCTCCCATGGTAAAGGAGTTAATGCTTTTGAATTATCCACGGTCCTCTCCATTCACACTGGACGTGACCATGGAGCCCGGCAGCCGGCTCCTGTGTTACGGTAGTGGGAGGATTACACAGATTCGGTATTTAATCCATGGGGGAGAGTTTGGACGTGGTGGGGGGCTGTTACTGTGCTGGTTTTTAGATTTTAAATTTTTCTTTTTTACCCTTGAACCTTCTTTTGGCTCCTTTGTATTGCATTCCACGAGAGAATGTGGTGTGCTCTCAGCAAACTGTGCAGTGCTAGCCTATCCCAGCTCATTCTAACAAAACCTCTGTGGTTTTTGTGGCCAGCTAGAGACCGCGTGTTCCATGTCAGTAATTGAACACTTAACTTTTGGGAGAACCAGGCATGTAACCATGGTTTTTAAGTATCTCCCAAAGTGTATTTTGAGATGTGTTTTTGCCATATCTTTTTGTACATTATCTCATTTCTTCTGAATATTATTTTTTTGTTTCATGCCTCCATCAGCCCACTGTTACATTGGGCTTCATCTCTCCAGCTATTTTAAATTTTTCTCAATTTGTGTTTTGTGGTTATGTTCCTTCCTTAAACTTCTTACGTAAGGATTTTCACTGAGTGTCTGAGGGGTGTGTCAATGCTATGACATCATTTTTACACCAATTTTTATTAAATGTTAAACATTTTAATTTTTGTTACATTTATTACAAATATTTACTTTTGGGTGGGTGATATTAACACCCATGTTTACATCAATTTTAACCTCGTTTTATTAATTTTCTTTTTATTTGTACTTCCTAGAGGTTGGATAATTATAAAAACACCACCACCTCATAACTGTCTGGACTCTAGTTTCCAATTATGATGAGTTATGATTATTGAGAAAGCTGACTTGTGTCGCAGGCACTGAACTAAGTGCTTTCTTGATGTGGATTGTTGCAACAAATCCTCCCAATAACAATAAGAACTAGGCACTATCTTCACCTTTTTTCACATAAGACAGCAATGGTTTAGAGTGGTTAGTTGCACAAGGTTGTAAAGAAATAACAAGGCTCTAGGTCCTGTTGTTGCCAAAGCCCGTTCTCTTAACTTCCACCCTGAATTGACTCTAAATGATGAAGTTCTGTGGATTTCTGCTGGATTCCAGCAGACTTATTCTATAGCTAAGAGACCAAGAGAAGTGTATCTTGAACTCCACAAAGATGTTTTCTCCGTGCCCTTTCCAAGAACAGTGATAAAAATCAGAACAAAAAATATTTCCTAGAATCATCAAATATCAGGCAGTTCCAGGAAGTTAGTTTCTGACCAGTGTTAGTAATCTGTTAACAAGTAGTCGGAAACAGAATTCTGTGAGTTTTTACTCTGTGGAATTATTCAAAAAATGAGGAGCTCAAAAAGGGGCACAAAAGGGGCACCTCTGAGCTTTCCCGAGGGAGACGGGCAGGTATTTTGTCTGTTGTCTGCACTTGGGCGTTTGCTGTGTTGTAATGGAAAAGAGAAGGAAGAACATTTCAACTGCAACTGGCTCCTGTTCAGAAACCATGTCTCCTCCGCATCTCATT